ACAGCAACCTCAAACTCTCGGGCTCAAGCAATTCTGTTGCCTCAGCCTCCCAAGTAGCTGGGACTACAGGCACCCACCACAACACCCAGCTATTTTTTGTTGCACTTGTCATTGTTGTTTAGCTGGCCTGAGCTGGGTTCAAACCCGCCAGCCTTGATATATATGGCTGGTGCCATAACCACTATGCTATGGGTGCCAAGCCATGACCACCTTTTTTAAAAAGTAAAAAGAAGCAAGTGGAAATTAATTTTAATGATTTATTTTATTTACCCCATTATATCTAAACACTATCATCTCAACACACAATCAATATGAAAAAGTCATTTGTGAGCTATTTCACATCCCTTTTGTCATACTAAGTGTGCAAAATCTGGTTTGTGTTTTACACTGACGCACATCCCTGTCCAGATCAGCCACGGTGCGGGTATCCCTAGCCAGGTGTGGTACATTAGCAGACGGCACAGTTCTCAGGGAAATCTTTGGTATATATGAAAGGTGTGTGCTGAGTTGTGATGTGGGGTGTTTCTTACTGTGGGGTATAGACCAAAGAATTTGAGAAGTTGCTGCCCCTCCGAGGGTAGCTACAATTGAACAAGCTACAGTCACACATGACCTGGAAGAAGCTCTTCAAGCTGTGTTGGGTGAAAGAACCCAGACACTAAATAGCTCATGCTGCGTGATCCTGGTTATGTCAGATATATCAAAGCAGGCACAATTGCTCTGCAAGGACACAAGTTGAGGGCATGGCTATCTTTGGGGTCTGGGTGGGTCCTTACGGATAGGGGATGTGGGCAGATTTGTGTAATGTCTGATCCAGTTCCTTGACCTGGGGCTGCTTACATATATGTGTTTCATTTGTAAAACTGCCTGGAACTGCCCATCCAACAGGGAAATAGATATCCAACCCATGGTATGCCAAGTGGTGGGATATTATGCAGCCATGAAAAGATATGAAGAACTGACACCTGCTACAGCACTGAGGAACTTTGACAACATCATGCTCAGGCCGGGCGTGGTGGCTCAAGCCTGTAATCCTGGCACTGTGGGAGGCTGAGGTGGGCGGATTGCTTGGGCTCAGGAGTTCCAGAGCAGCCTGAGCCAGAGCAAGACCCCATCTCTATTAAAAATTGAAACCCTAGCCTCACGTCACAGCTACCCGGGAGGCTGAGGCAAGAGAATCCCTTGAATTCAAGAGTTTGAGGTGGCTATGAGTTATGACGCCACAGCACTGTCTACCCAGGATAAGAGCGAGACTGTCTCAAAAAAAAAAAGAAACCATAAAAGAAAACATGCTCAGCAAAAGAAGCCAGATACAAAAGGCCACATATTGTGTGATTCCATTTATAGGAAATGTCCAGAATAGGCGAATCCATAGACACAGGATGCAGATTGGAGGAGGGGGGGGCTTGGAGGGGCAGAGTGGAGAGGGACTACTTAATGGGTATGGGGTGTCCTTTTGGGGTGACTAAAAAGTTTTAGAACTAGGTAGATGTGATGGTTGCCCAACATTGTGAATGTACTAAATGCCATTTGATTATGCACTTCAAAATGGTTAATGGGTAAGTTTTCATTGTATGACTATTACTTGGACACTTATGATGGGATACACTTGTCTATATTTATGTTATACTTAGAAGACTGTTTGCTTTCTGAAAAATTTTATTTGAGTTTGAGGCTGGGTGTGGTGGTTCATGCCTGCACTCTGGGAAGCCGAGGTGGGTGGATAGTTTGAGCTCATGAGTTTGAGACCAGCCTGAGCAAAAGTGAGACCCCCCCCATCTACTAAAAAATAGAAAAACAGAGAGGCAAGAGGATTTCTTGAGCCCAAGAATTGGAGGCTGCTGTGAGCTATGACACTACAGCACTCTACCCAGGTCACAGCTGGAAAATCTGTCCCCCAAAAAAGAATTTGAGAAACACTGCCTAAAATGTCTACTATGACTATTGTCATCTGCCTGTCACTCCCAGGGCAGAGCGGGCTGGGCAAGTCCACGATGGTGAACACACTGTTCAGGTCCAAAGTATGGAAGACGAGTCTGCCGAGCTTGGGGACGCCCATACCCCAGACACTGCAGCTGCATTCGCTGACTCACAGTGAGTGAGACCCCGCCCGCACCTGTGCCCCGCCCCTGCCCAGGTCCAGTGTCTCCCCTCCGCTCTCCCTCCACAGTCATTGAGGAGAAGGGTGTGAAGCTGAAGCTGACAGTGACTGACACGCCTGGCTTTGGGGACCAGATCAACAATGACAAGTGGTAGGTCCTCAGGAGTGGGGCTAAGTTCTGGCCTCCTTGCTCCTGCCCCTACCTCTACCCCTTCAACCTCTGGGAACTGTCCTAGCCCTGAGAAGCCTGGCTGTATCATCTTTGAGCCTCAGTTTCCTTGTGGTATAAGAGGTGCACTCAACTCTCCCTCCAGGAATGAAGTGATTTGCGTTTGTAGAGGTCTTGTCTTAGCTTGCCCTGGTGCACAGTGAGTACTCAGTGTGGGACATGGTAGAGCAGGGGTTAGAAGCTCACACTCCAGAGTTAGGAAGCCTAGATGAGGCTACTTTCTAGCTGTATAACCAGGCACTGATCACAGAAGCTCTCTGAGCTTCAGCTTCCTTCATCATAACTTGGGGATGAGGCCATCCACCTGGCAGAGTTATACTCAGTGACAGCATTTGGGAAACATGCATACACAGTCGGGATTGGCTGCATAATTTGTGGGACCCAGTGCAAAGACACTGTGGGGCCTCTTGTTCAGAAACAACAGACATTAGGGCCAAGTGAGGTGGCACACACCTGTAATCCTCACACTTTGGGAGGCCAAGCCAGGATGATCACTTGAGGCCAGGAGTTTGTAACCAGTTGGCAATGTAGCAAGACCCCATCTCTAAAAAATATTATTTTTAAATTAGCCAAGTGTGGTGGTATGTACCTGTAACCCCCAGCCACTCAGGAGGCTGAGGCAAGAGGATCACTTGAACCCAGGAGTTTGAGATTGCTGTAAGCCAAGCTGATGCCATGGCACTCAGCAACTCAGAGCCTGGGCAACAGAGTGAGACTCTGTCTGAAATAATAATAATAATGATTATTATTACTACTGATTATTATCCATGCCTGAGCTCAGTGGTTAGGGCGCAGGCCACATATACCAGGGCTGGAGGCTTCAAACCCAGCCTGGGGCCTGCTAAACAACAATGACAATTATAACAAACAAAC